CCCAGCTGTGCAATAGCTGCAGGCCCTAGTGGCCACACTGCAAACAGGGCGTGCAATCCATCATCCATGCAGTACAGGCACACAGCGACTGTGAGGAGCTGGTCCTCAGGGCAGCCCAAGTGCATTGCAGCATATTGGACCCATCTACTTTGCCATGCTATCTTATGGCACCATCTAATGACAAGTTGGTTACAAGTTACACGTGCAGTAGAAATACGTGAAACCTTTATTTCCCCAAGTCTATCACCATTACAAAGGAAAATCATAGAATGACGGAGGGTAATGGAGGCCCAGGCTGGGGCCCCAGGTGAGGTCACCAACCAAGAGGTTGTGATGTCAGCAATGGAGATGACTGTGACTTGCTAGCCCTCCCTGTACAGATTCGGGCTCTGGCAGAGGCCAGCGTGCACTCGTGCCTGGACTCCAGTTGAGCACAGTTGCGAGACTTGGAGCACTGAGCGAGTTGGTTGCGTTGAGCTGTGGGGCTGCTGGCACCAGTTCTTGGTGCCCATCCCACAGCATCACCAGTGTTTCCCCCAGCCCTGCCTGCCTCAGGCAGCTGGGGCCGCACAGGGTGCGCTTGTAGCGGCAGAGGTGAGTGGTGCAGGACATCATGGCCCCTGCAGCAGCCGGTGGGGAACAGGGACCGGGAGGCTTTGCTGCTGAGGGACTGGGGCAGCCAGTGACCGTGGCCTCTCTCTCTCTTTTGCAGTTCGTAACACCTTCTGCTTGCTGCAGCACCAGGGAGGGGAGCAGCTTCCCGACCTCAGCTCTCCCCAGCCCACCGCACAGCCCGGGGCCATGGACGTGGCATCTGAATGGATCTGCCCCATCTGCGGGCAAATTCGGGAAGATGTCACCTACGTGACCCCCTGCCAACACCAGCTGTGCTACGGCTGTGCCATCTGGTGGGCAAACAGGAAGCCGAGTTGTGCCGTATGCGGGCACGAAATAACAACCATCCGATACTCGGTGAGGTCGGATGACGATTACCTGGAGTGTGCTGTCCCACAGCCCGCAGCGCACTCGGATCCAGGCCTGCAGGACGAGCAGGGGCCTGCAGAGCCGGTGCTCATCCCACCTGAGCACAGCTTCCCAGCCGAGGTCTGGGCTGCATTCTTCAGGGAACACCCAGAGGACCTCGAACCCCTGCTCCAATGGCTGCAGGAGGAGATCCAGCAGGTGTCCAGCGATGACTGGTGGGAAGTCTATGCGGGACAGTGCACCACCGTCAACTTTCTATGTCAGCATGGGCTGGACGAGGAGGCCTTGGTGCAGGCGCTGCAGCTCATCACCAATGGCGACGTGGTGCCCTTCGTCAGAAGGCTCATCAGCACCGCCGCAGCCCTGTATGGCCCCACGATCCACCACGAGCTGGACCACCAGGTCAGCCACACTGCTGGAGGATGGGAGGACAGCCCTGCAGCCAGCCCCATCACCAGCACCTCCCATCAGGAGCCTCCCGCCTCGGGCCCAGGTCGCTCCACCAGCCCCGCAGGGCCCAGCACCGAGGAGCCGCCCGGCGGCTCTACTGGGGGACCCGGGCACCCCAGCACCGCCACCGCGCCCTCGGTGCAGGAGCCGCAGGAGGAGCCAGGGCAGGCGGCGGCAGCGGGCCCCTCCGCCCGGGGCAGGGACCGCTCGCGGGGGCCCCGGCGCCCCCCGAAGAGGAAGGCCAGCAGCAGCCGCCAGGACTCGCCCCCGCCCCGCAAGAGGCGGCCCCGGCGGCGGCGCTAGGCCG